ATATAGTTTATATAGGGAAATAACACTTTTCGGTATATATTTTATCCATTTTCAGCAGAAAATTGCTCAAACTTAGTCAGAATCATCTTGGGTAAATGAGAGTTTTACTTTGTAAAATTAGGATTCCTGCCCCATCCCCAGGGGCTAGGGCGGGGCCCCAAAGGGAACATTTACCAATATTTTCAAATTCTTATCCATTGATGACATGACAAGTATTGTATTTCACTTAGTTTACATGCTGATTTCCACATCACATCTAAACAATAAAATAAAGCTACCAGTATCTATGATATAACTCAGGTGACCGCTAAGGCCCTTGGGCCTCTTGTTTACGAAGTTATGGCCTTTGTTGAAAAATCCCGAAACTTTTTGTCAGGACCAACTCCCAGTAAGGTTTTGGATTTATTTCGACAAATCTGTCCAGATGTTATAATTACCACCTGGAGACGTGCATCCAGGTTTTATATTTTCATTCTGTCCCTATATTTCCAAAGTTATGGCCCCTTGTTGAATTATCCTTGTCTGGACAACTCCTCCAAAACTTTGGGGCCAATTTCAACAAACCTTTTCAGATATGATAACCATCACCTAATATTTTTTAACCATGTCTGTCTGTATCCAGTATGTTTGTCTTTCAATGCAGAAACAGAAATACATTTAGACAGTGAAATATCTTACTGTAGTGACACATTGTATACCACTGGTCATGAAAAAGAATTCTTGAATTGTTTTTCTTCACTTTCTTTTTTACTTGCCAGGTAATTGTGTATTCCTGTTTAGTCACATTTAGGTAGCATACATCCTTAAGGTCCATGTCAAAGTAAAGTGGCATACTGCCTGAATGATTATTTTTAGTATCTCTTTGATGGTGAATTAAAACACTACAAAACTACATGAATGATGTTTATTTTATGTCTCTTTGATGATGTATAATGATATATTCATTTGAACTTTTTTTTTCGTTTTTTTGTCAGGTGTTGCTGGGCTGTATCCAATCATGATTTCATTGAAGCCTATGGTTGCCAGTCCGTGGTGGTACAATATCCTTTACACCCCACAGTAACGCCTTATCAAGTCATTATTTCTAGGGCTAAAGGGGCACACATTTGACACAGTTTCGTTTAATTCATTTTTCTAGAGCTGCAGATGCATGGATACACACATTTAACAGTGTCAAGTCCAACATTTTCTAGGGCTCATCATGTTCATCAATGTTGATGATACTGACGGTTCCTTTAACATTAATGGAGATGATATTGCCAAGGACGATAGATCTTTACATTTCACGTTTATTCATTCCCGTTGGAAAAGTAATTTTCATGCTTTCATACTAGATTTTTTTACCTGTTTTTAAAAGTTGAATGGCATAAGTACTAAAAAAACAAATCATTTCGTTTTGGTTTGTTTGTGTTTTCATCCTATAAACAGCTATATTCATTTAAGGACGTGCCAGGTTTTAGTGGCGGAGGAAAGCTGGAGTTTCCGGAGAAAAAACACTGATCAACGGCCAGTACTTGGCAACTGCCCCACGTTAGCCTCAAACCCACGACCCAATGGTGGAGGGCTAGTGGTAGAAGAATTTTGAGACCACTTGGCCACTGCGGCCCCTAAAAAAAACAAATCTATGTAATATATATATTATGAGACTGAATCATATATGATGAATTTCCTTTTAATAGTTTTGCCTTTACCAAAGTCATTTAATTTCATAACACTGATTATATATCAAATTTCTTAATTGAAAATAAGGTTTGTGACCTGAGTGAAGGCACTTTTTACTTGTCACATGTCCAAAGAAGCGTTTCCTTAATTCTCTCACAGCGTTCGTCAAACTGTTTCAAACTGTGAAAGAGGAGAACTGGCCGCTTTCTATCATGTTTTCCGTCTGTCTTGACCTCAGGCTGTTTGCCAACAGTGTAAGTTGGATAAAAGGTTGAACAACAATGATAAATAGTTTGTTTTTAACCTGAAGCTGTCTTCCGTATTATGACTCTTTGTTTAATCATTGCAGGAGGAAAGTGATATAACTTCACTCATTTGTTTGTTGTCCATCAAACTGACTTAAATAAATGTACTGCACCTTAAACAGGAATTTTGGTTGTCCCCACTAAAATGTCTGAGGGGACTATATATTTGCAATCTGTTCGTCTGTATGAAAGTCATATTGTCTGGGACGCGTGCCTTAAACAGGAATTTTGGTAGTCCACACTAAAATGTCTGAGGGGACTATATATTTGCAATCTGTTCATCTGTATGCAAGTCATATTGTCTGGAACGTGTATCTTAAACAGGAATCTTGGTAGTCCCAACTAAACTGTCTAAGGGGACTATATTTTGCAGTCTGTTCGTCTGTATATATGCAAGTCATATTGTCTGGGACGTGTACCTCAAACAATAATTTTGGCAGTCCCAACTAAACTGTCTAAGGGGACTATATTTTGCAGTCTGTTCGTCTGTATATATGCAAGTCATATTGTCTGCGACGTGTACCTCAAACAATAATTTTGGTAGTCCCAACTAAACTGTCTAAGGGGACTATATTTTGCAGTCTGTTCGTCTGTATATCTGCAAGTCATATTGTCTGGGACAAGTACCTCAAACAATAATTTTTGTAGCCCAAACTAAACTGTCTAAGGGGATTATATTTTGCAGTCTGTTCGTCTGAATATATGCAAGTCATATTGTCTGGGACATATACCTCAAGCAATAATTTTTGTAGTCCCAACTAAACTGTCTAAGGGGACTATATATTTGAAATCTGTTCATCGTATACAAGGCACATCGTCTGGGACGTGTCTCATATACTGTGTCACATACATCGTTACTGAAATCCACATGTTCTATGATATCACTGTTATCAATAAGGACCTGGTTATGATATTTAAATCAGGCAGACCTTCAAGCATCAAAGAAAGGGAAAGGGAAGCCTGGCGAGAGATTGGAGAAGTCGGCCGAGCTGTTAATGTCATGCTTCAGGGTGTGCGCCAGTGATAAGTAAGTGAAATGTTATATACCTGCGTACGTACATACTGTATTGTATTTAGACGACACACATTTTCCCCTGCATCCCCATTGGTTGGGTCATATACACATGGAGCTTGGTATGATGTGATATTGACTAGCTGGCTCTTACTGTTTTAGAAACAGCGTGTCAATATTCATTATAGGATGTCATTTCAATTGTGACGTCACATTTATATCTGCCAAACGCACTACTTTCCTCCGTACAGTTTTCATATGTTCCGTCTTTTTTATTGATTAAAATGTTATTTACCACCTTATGCAACAGTTAAAGATTTAATTTTGGTGAATATTTAGTGATATGGACCTGTCAGAGAACGTTACAATGACTGAGACAACCTTAACTTCATCTTATAGCCACATATTCACCTTAAAAAGTCCTTAATTGATAAATATATTATACACCTACACACAACCAACTCCCCTTTATAGTCCTGTCCGTCTGGCTCTCTCTAAATAAATAAAATAAAATCCCCGATTGTTTTTGGATATTTTATTTAAAACTGAACTAGAACAAAATCCAGTAGTATTTTTTTTTCAATTAGAATGATCGTCTTTTGCAGGGTTAATGTGAAACAAAGAATTTAAGGGAGAGAGTCCCAACACTTTTCTACATATATACAAACACTGAATAGTTATTTTCCTGTTGAATTTATATTCTTTCCTCTATATTCATCTATATAATAAACATTTCAGGTTTTTGCAAGCACCTCAAATATTGAAATATTTGTTTTTCCCATTTGCCGAAAAGTTGTAAAAAGATAAATATTGTCACTTGTAGTGCAGTGGATAAGCTGCCTGTTTTTATAAGAGGTTCTAGGTTCAAACCCCTGTAGCTGTGTTGTCTCTTATAAACAGAAATAATAATGATTATATTTCTGTGACATATATAACTCTTTGCTATAGTGGAAAGCGATGCCAAATTAGAAAAATTGTCATTGAATTTGAGCTCTTATTTGTTGGAGATACAAAACAGAGTGTTTAGACACCCATACTCGTTACCAAGCAAGGACAAATAAAATGTCGGCATTTCCATAGAAACGATAGTCAGAAGAGATGGGGAAGATCTCAAAACCAGAAAAAAAGAAAAGAAAAATAATCTAATCTCAATTGAAAGCTTTTTAACTTGCACAGCTGTCAGCTTTAAGCTGATGAGGTTGTTTGTCACTAATACTTGTGTATTTCCGTTTGTATTACAGCCGAGCTTCAGTGGAGGATACAAAGAAATGGGGCATGCTTAATCTAGTCAACCAGTTATTTAAGATATATTTCAAGGTTTGTTATTGATGTTTCCTTCAGATGAACAAATTCTGGTTAAAAGATTCATTGACGATACCATACTTCATTTAAAAAAAAAACTAAAAAAAACATGTGAGATAATGGTTAATATCAAATATGATTATGGCTTGATTATGTCAATTCGATATTAATGAATAAGACAAAAAAAGTATTGCAGGTGGAATTGAACCCGCTGCATCATGGACCTAGTGGTGTATATACGTTTACCAACAGCTGGTATTCTCCTTAGAAGGCCAGAAAGTTTGGCTATCTTGGTCGTAGCCATATTTCCCAAGATATAAAAATCACCACATTGGACATTGGCTTCAGGTCATGTTGTTATCAACTATGAACACTTTTATTAGGAGATATGTATTTTTAGTATCAACCATGTACCGGTTCATTAAAGAGATTTGTATTTTTAGTTTCAAGTATGTACAGGTTCATTAAAGAGATTTGTATTTTCGGTATCTGAACAATTTCAAAGGGGTAAGTTGACTTAATAGACCCTTTTCTTAAATTATAGATTTGTCACAAAATATGAAAAATGTATGTTCAAGGAAATATTAATAGAGATAAAGATAAGAGAGATAGCGATGAAAGAATTCCTATTATAATAAAAGCACTATATTTATCACCCTCTGTATCAAATGTTATTGACGTAAATAACGTTGCTTTCATTATTGTTTGTAGATAAACAAGCTCCACTTGTGTAAGCCGTTGGTGCGGGCCATAGACAGCTTGCCCATCAAGGACAGGTTCCCCCTCTCTCAACAGGTCACCTACAGGTATTTATTGCTGAAAGGAGGAAAGGAGGAAATTAAATTGCTCAAAGAAACACCCAGTTTGTCCATTTAAAGTGGACCTGGGCCGTCTGTACAGTAGTAATTATCATATATCACATATCCTTATCTTAACCACTTACTACAAACCCCTTATTGCCTTCTGGTAACTGCTGGCCTGGCCATCTGAATCATGTAATCCTGATGAAGTATACAACTACAGAATCCCTGATGTTGAGCCTCCACTACTTTTAAAATTGCTTATAGTAACTTTAATGGTCAATCGAGGCCAGTTATCTATCGTTACTGCAAATATAGGTGGCAGTAGGGGCAAAGCCGGTCCCACTATCGGAACCTCTCTATATGCATCCTCGATATCCAGGAGTAATGTGCACTTTCGCTCTCTAAACCTCTCAAATATGTCATAGCAAAATTGAAGGCTCAGTGTGCCCCACCTTTTGGTTTGGACGAGACAAAAAGACTAGTTCAATCTTTTGATGTGCATCAAAAGAAACTCGCGGTTACATAACGATAAAATTTGACAGGCTTTGAAGTCGGCGTCTCTCCTTTGTAATCTTCAAATGACAGGTATCAGCCTTAGCGAATGGTCATATTTTTTTACCGGAGACCAATCAAACATCTTTCTTCGTGCCTTCAATTTTGCTATGACATATTCCAGGGGTGTAGAGAGCGAAAGTGAGCGTAACCCCTGGATATCGAGGATGCGCTATATGTAGCCTCATGTTTATCCAGCCATCACTGAATAAGCCTCACCATTGTGAATTACTGAACCGTGACCATCATGTTAACAAAGCCTGTATAATGCTGTCAACCTGTTATGAACCTGGCTGTCACAATAGAGGAGGACAATTTACCGGAAACCAACTTGGACCAGGTCGATCATCACACCATCTATCAGTATAAAGTGTTGCAGGGTTTAATTGTACATAGCATTAAGGTCGTCTTCTAGCTTCGAGCTAGAGGGAAATTCCCTTTAGCTCAGTGGTAGAGGGTCCGACAAGGACCCTGGAGATCGAGGGTTCGATCCCCGGTGGAAGCACGCTATTCTCTTTCCTGTTACACAAGTAAGAAAACTGGCCTCGATTCGCCATTGATGGAGCAAGAACATTCTGGTATCCCCCTATAAGGGCCTTAGATTCCTCTGCCGGGTCAATGTTAAAGGTTATAATATTGATGATGACAATTTGTTCATGCTGTGATACAATGCTGTTAATCCTATTTTGTAGATACTATGTCGGAAGGAAGGCTATGTTTGATAGTGATTTTAAAAGTGGTAAGTCCTTCGAGTATATAGAGTACACACTGTGATGAATTTGCAATATATTTTATATTTATAGCCATGTTCTTTCAAAATTAACCACAATTATCAAAAGGACATGACTGTGTTCATGTATAGTTTAACACAATATATTCAATGATCTTTTATGCTGGAAAAAATATCAAAGACGATAAATTTTGTGAAAATGTGTCAGAAAATAAAACTATTGTCATAAGGGCTCCATTCTTCAGAGTCAGATTGGATTATGAATATTTTTAACACACCAAGAAATGCCAAATATATAAAAATTAAGTAAAATGCATGTACCATGCATTTAAAAAAAAATTAGATTTGTCTTATGATAATGGCTATACTTGTAAAAAAGAAATTTTATCCATGGTTGGGTTTCCTGCTTACATCAATAACAATTATCACCGTACTTTATGAATGGTTACCCTAGAGTCCTAAGGTGGAGCGGCCGCGTTGGTTAAGGGGTCTGACATCATGCCACTACTAGCCCTCCACCACTGGGCCGTGGATTCGAGGACCTACGTGGGCAGTCGTCAGGTACTGGCCGATGTCAGTGATTTTACTCCAGGAACTTCAGCTTTCTTCCACCACCACCACCTGGCATGTCCTTAAATGACCATAGCTGTTAATAGGACACAAACAAACCTAAGGTGGACTAGGTGTTTCACTGAAAGTCATGGGTATCATAGTTGATGATGTGAAGATTTGTGAACTTTGTGACGTTTGTAAAGAAACTCCTTTGAGCATTTATATAAATGATATATGAAGTTCTATACCTCTCCTTCTCGTTGTGTATTGGTGATACTGGATTGCTTGATGCAAAATTTCCAAAATGGGTGTGAAACGGGTTTTGCGGGCTGATACGGGTTTTGGGGTGTGATCTGGCAGGGGCTGATACGGCTTTTGGGGTGTGATACAGCTTTTGGGGTGTGATACGGCGAGGGCTGATATGGGTCAGAGCAATTGTGTTGTATCGCATATACAAAAAAAAACCAAATCAAGTGCTCAAAGCCTTTCGTTATTTAGTGTTCAATGTATGACAATTTCTTCTGTTCAATACATATTTGTCTATTGTAGCTGACGAGTTCCTCTCCTATGCCTTTGAGCGCTGCCATCGAGCCAGTAAGAAGAACAAGAGGATGACCTTGATTTATCTGCTACCTGTCAAGATGTTGTTGGTACGCTATCAGTTTTATATAATAAAACAAAGGAAAAAGAATACCATCAACACAGTTTGTATGGGATACCAGGGGCCAGCTGTTTGTTAATATGTAATATTTTCGGGTATAAATCCTGGCGGACCTGCAAATGTTTATTGAGGCCTTGCAAGGCTTCATCAAGACTCGCCTGAAAGCAGCATCAGATTACTAGGTCTGACCTGATTTCGTGAACGACCAACTCTGGTCCAACTGGTTCAACCGTTTGGATCGCAATAAATGAAAGCGGCCTTGATTTATCTACCTCACTGGTTTTGTTATGTTGTCAGAGGTTACCGTGTAGCTAGCCTAGTTTGAGCTGGTATTTATATACTTTAATTTAATATAACGCATTCACCCCTGAAATTTCATAATGACCTACATGTATCCCAACTTTTGAATTGTAAGAGGTCAATTGTGTCTTCAGGGGTGAATGAGTTAAGGTAGTTTTGGGTAGCAAAGGGAGGTAACTCATACACTCTGTCCAGTTTGGGTTGGATGCAAACAAAATGTATTCCCTGTAGACTATAAATATGTCCAGCAAGAACTAAGCGCAATTGCTTGAATTTCAATTCATCAATTTCATACTTTTAAAGTAAATGCCTTATTGATAATATAAATCTTATGCCATTTTAAAATCTCAGACTAGACTTGAAACCAGATGTCCCAGAGCAGCTGATTTAGTTTACAGAACTAAAACAGTGGCAGAAATGGAAATCAAGATATCTGTGTACCACAAGTCAAAATATGTTAGTGGTTTGTGTGATTCTGACGGCTATTTTCCTGTCACTATATAGAGTAAACCACATCTCATGGAGCTCTACCAAGTATTCACAGCTGATGTCTTCAGAATTTCGATACACAGTCACACGTCGCTGTTACTTCTACAGAATTTAGGAACAGATATGAAGCATTGTTACCTCTAGACCTCTAGTATTGAGACCTACATCAATTCTCCCTGTACAGACCATCTACAGGTGACCCTGGCTGTTGCTAGGATATGGAAGCATTATGTAAAAATAATATCTTGATTCAGAAAATAACCATATTAAATGCAAGTTTACAGTGAGCATAGGGCATTCCACTTCAAATTGTTGGATGTCTCTTCATAGTACTTAAAATTACCTATGCATTAGCATGTTTATTGAAATACTGTTGTGTTAACTGAAAACGATTCCTGTTTATAATTTTATATGTAATGCTTCGAGGTTGCTAAGACTAAATTATAACTGGTCCATGGGTTCTGTCCCCATGCCGGGACATACCAAAGCCCTTATAAATGGTAGTTATTATTCCCTGCTTAGCGTTCAGCATTTAGGTTTATGACAACAACTGGTTCACCCGTTGGCAGTATAATGTGAACGGGCAAAATGCTGTGCTGGGTGCCTTCATCATGGTATATCAGTGAGATAGCACTATAATGTTGGCATCAGCCCCGCACTATAACAAGGAGGCAAATACTCCAACATACCATGTCTCTGGTACACACACAAACACATGCAGTCATACACAACACACACAGAGTCACACCCTTAAATGACCTTAGATGTTGATAGGACATTAAACAAAATAAAACCAAAGCAAACCCTTAATTTAATTTACTGCATCGTTTTTGTCTTTCAGGGCCACATGCCGAAGCAGTCCCTGCTGCAGAAGTATGATCTGATGCAATTTTATGATGTAGCTAAGGCTGTTAGGTAAGTAACAGGAATCTCAGCACAGAAACAGAGGTGGAATGTTTCCACCAACTTCACAAATTTAATATAAAGAATTTCACTTTACTATGTTAAAATTTAAATTCGCTTAAGTTGTGCCAGAGCAGAGAACATGAAATTTTCATCACCATGAATTACAAACTCCCATCAATCTGAGGTCTTCACTTTATAGTAATTCCCATGTCTGTGTAACATTAAATACATATTATATACAGAAATAATTATCCCCCGCTTTCACTGAAATGGGGGATATTAATTTGGGGTTGTCCGTCTCTGTCTGTCATGCTTTGTTTCCGTGCAATAACTACAACAAATGTTAACCGATTTCCTTCAATCTTGGTACCAGGGTTAAATGCCTTAAGGGTTCGTCCAAGTTGGATGACCACTTTCAGCGGATTTTATTTGGCAGAGTTATGGCCCCTTGAATAACGAAAAACGTCATTATCTGCCGTTTCCGTGCAATAACAAAAACAAATGTTAACCGATTTTCTTCAATCTTGGTACCAGGGTTAAATGCCTTAAGGTCTCAACCAAGTTAGATGACCACTTTCAGCGGATTTTATTTGGTGGAGTTATGGCCCCTTGAATAGCGAAAAATTCAAGCTATACATTATGTTTCAACAGCACGATGCTCACATGTTTAAACCTAACCTCAATAATGTTTACCTACAATATGTTATTGCAGAGTCATAATCCCTTCTCTCTGTCTCCTCATTCCTTTTTACTGATATAAAACTAAATATTTTGTCAAAACACGACAAATTTCAAGCTCGTTATTTGGAAAGCACACAAAATGATTGAACGATTTTGTAGTTCAGAATTTTAATGGAAAATTCATGACTTAGATTTGACAGATGATTTTTTTTTTTTTTTTTCTAAATTAGGTTCTTGTTGATTGTAATTTTCAATGCATGTTTCAGTTCGGGGAATCTCTTGCTTCTGAATGAGGCACTAGAGAAGAACGAAGCTTTCTTTATCAAGTGTGGCATTTATCTCATCCTGGAGAAGCTGAAAATCATCACATACAGGAATCTCTTCAAGAAAATGTGAGTGAGAAGGTTAATATATGTCCACAAGAAGAGAATCCAGAATTCCACTGATAATTTTAATGACTTCGGATACTTCATAAAATAGTTGGGTTTTTGTTCCTCCATTAATTGTTTTGTGTTTCTTGCCTTTAGATGATCATTTTATCACTACGAATGATTGAAGTTTTAAGATATTTTTTCATGAAAGATCCTACTTTGACACCCGGTGCAGAATTTGTGTTATTTGTATATTATTTATGCCTGCCACGAAAGTGCAAGGCATACAAATTCTGTGTTTAGATCAGTTATGGACTAAGTACATCAGCTATGGTCATGCAACTTCACATGCTTACGGAGCGTTATGTGGGCGGATCGGTCGAGTGGTTTACACTTCAGCCTTCCACGCAGGCGCCCAGGGTTCGATTCTCAAAGTCGTCGCACACATGGAATACCAGAGAAAGTGTTTTTCTCCTGCCCACACAACTCCAACAACCCAGATGGAGCAAAAATGGTCTGGGGTATATGTTGCGGTGTCTGTGCTGTAGCATTCAAGTGAGGTGGCACTATAAAAGATGCCGTTGGAAGCACGGTCCCACTACAAACAGAACACAATACATCTCCAGCACAGACACAGGCATACACACATAGGGAGATATTAGCCAGGTGGCATAGGACTAGTATTTAGCGCCTGATAAGGCAGTTACTGCGAATTCCTCAAAAGTTGTATAAAATTGTACTTAGTTATGTATATGTTCACTGTATAAATTTTATATCTATGTACTGTAAAGTGCTTTAGGGTGGCTTATGTTAGCTAGATAGGGTACTATATCAAATGTTGTTGTTGTTGTTGTTGTTTATGACAACAGCCTTTTGCATGTTTTAGTAACCTTGACCTTGGCTTCTTTGACCTCAGTTAAGATTTTGCATTTACTTCAATAAATAACTAAAGTACTGCAGTTAGGATCACACTACTTCACATGCTTAGGCACTTGTAGTTATGAAGCATGAAGTGTCATTGTTTTTGAAATCTTGACCTTTGACATTGAACTCTGTGACCTTGCTGTAGACCTCAAGTGTAGGAACAGGTCGTCCATGTCTAATAGACATATTAATTTTCTAGTGTCACTTTAATTTGGATTTTAGTTACCTGCTCCTAAATACTCACCAGATACCAATAAAGGCCTTCACAGCTGTTCTCAGGATGATGGAGGTATGTATGAAACGGTCTTGTACCTGCAGGGGCCACAATGAAGCTCTAGGTCAATTGAATTCATAGCTGAAACTTACTGAAAGATAGTACATTATAATTTCAAAGTGCCTTAACATCAGACTTCTGCTTACTTTCTTCAGATTTTGAGAATAAAAACCCAAAGTGTATAATTGTTTGATTCACATAGATTTACATACTGTATGACACGAAATATTTGTGGGTATTTTCCTTCGTGGTTTGAATCTGTTTAGATCGTGGTTCAAACTTTCGTGGATATCCTATATTAACAAACAGTAGACACGTGTATCATTCAAATTCGTTGTAGTTGTTTTCATGGTTCAATAACAACCGAGAAAACCACGAATATTTATACACAACGAACATTTCATGTTAAAAAGTAGTTAAAGTACAGGATGTAGATGTAAATTTAGCCATTTTGTAGATTACCGATATTTTATTGAAATAACAACAGATACATTGGAATTGTGGATTGCAGATGATTTGAAATCAAATAAGATGTAAAAATGTTTACAATAATCGAACGATAAAATACTTATAAATGTATCATTACAGGTTTCAGATATTGATGATGACGAGACCTCATGTATCATCGCCAACTTAATATATGAGGTAGGTGTCTTTTTTTTCCAAAGCACAGCATTAAACAGAACAGTTATCAGGACTTACTGTAAAACTTGACAATTAACTGAAATTTGCTTATGTACCAAAACCTGTGATATAGCTACAGTGTCGAAACTGGACAAACAAGATAAAAAAAAAATCTGCAACTGTATTTTTTTTCCTTTTTTTTTTTCTAAGGAAATTTGTCTGTGAATTATCAAATTTTTATAATGCTTATAAATTTTGCATCTTAAAAAATCTGTAAATATTATTTCTGGTATTTTGTTTCAGAACAAGATAAAGGGCTACATTTCCCATCAACATCAGAAACTCGTGGTCAGCAAACAAAATGCATTCCCTGTTCTAGCTTCAGTGTTGTCTTAACTCATTAACCCCTAAAGACACATTTGACCTCCTCCTATTCAAAGGTTACAATAGTTCATTATGAAATTTCAGGGGTGAATGAGTTAATTAAGTTGGTAACACAACCAATTAAAGGAATCTCTACAAGCAGGAAAAAAAAAAAAAATAGCTGTAGAAGTTAAGAGGGCCTTTAAAAAGATATATTTTAAACATCCTTCCTGTAGGGAAGCTATTTTGTTCTTCACTGAAGTGATGTTTTAACAGGAAGTTTCCTGTTTAGTAGAACAGAACTTGACAGGTGCTAGTGTCATTGGTTACCTTGCATCACTTTATTGCTCAACGTAATGGCGGGAGATATAGAAACGGTGTGTCCGTCCATGCACCTGGTTAAGAAAAATTGTTCTTAACTATATCTTGCCTACTACAAGTGCTATATTGATTATGCTTGCATCAATTGTGTATCTTGTTGCTCTACTGAATGCAGATTGTGAATGCTGATTTTGACCTACATTTTATGATTCATTGACTTGGTTAAGAAGAATTGCTTTTATCTTCATGTAAGGTTAAGAAGAATTGCTCTTATCTATATCATGCCTACTACAAGTGCTATGTTGATTATACTTGCATCAATTGTGTATCTAGGGTTGCTCTACAGAATGCATATTGCCGATGCTGATTTTGACCAATATTTTACGCTTCACATTTTTAATGACTATACTATTGCACTGCGAGCGGGAGTTATAGATGACAGCGTTTTCTTGTTAGCTTTGCTATTGTGGTAGTCTGACACTGCAAGATTTTGTTCCATCTGAGCCAGCATCATCAACGACTACAACAGCACTTGTTAACACTATGACTGCATAGACTTATGGCATTGAACTTTAAACAGTTTGTTTGATCCCACAGTGTCTACTGAAATGGATTTTAGGTGTTATCTTTTGTATTTTGACCCAAAATCTCATAAAAAATTGATGGAAAATGTGCTGAGTTGTTAAATTTACATGTAAATGTGCCGAGTTTGTGAACGAAGAGAAAATTGTATACAGTGTATTGAAAGTAATGAAAAATTGTTAAGTGTATGAACATTATTGAAAAATTGTGTACAGTGCATAAGAGGTAATGGTATTGGAATAAAGAGGTGTGCGAGAAGATTGTATGCAATGTGTTAGAAGTAATGAACAGTTGTTTACAGTGTATGAACATTAATGAACAGTTGTTTACAGTGTATGAACATTAATGAACAGTTGTTTACAGTGTATGAACATTAATGAACAGTTGTTTACATTGTATTGTAAGTAATTGTTTGAAATGTAAAGGAGAGTATGCTGTTAATGTATATTTGTTATGAGAGGCATGTTTGGTGGAAATATTCTATTATGAATGACACAGATTCTTAATTTTGAATATGTATACAATTTGAAAAAGATGCAGTCAATAAAATATTAATTTGAAAAATATTTCTCTTGGTGATTTCTTTTGTAATTCTTATTAAGGGAAAATGTGATATACTGTATGAAATTTGAAAAAAGGCTTTTAAATAATCGTGATCATGTGAAGCCCACATTTCATTCATCTTTGAAATTCCAGGGGCGATGCTTGGAAAAAATGGCCAATCGTTAGGCTGATACCTGTCTTTTGAAGATTATGTAGAGAGGAGCCGCACCCGACTCCGATGCCAGGCAATCTTTTCATGTTTACGTGTGGTTCTTAGGTGTGCGAGGGTCATTCAATACATTTTGTCGCCACACAGTTCCCCTGCAAACGGACAATGACATAGTTAAGCGCTTTGGCCGACTGCTGCAAAAGTATTTAAAGAACAATGCACAATTCATCCGGCGTCATCCGACAAGAATTGAACCTGTTATCCATTGTTGAATGGTATGCACTCGTGACCAGTGGCTTCTTTTCAAAGCTATAATGAACATTGAGACTAACACTGAAATACGGTCCGAATTCCGCCAAAACAGCATCTTCGCTAGCCAATGGTCACGATCCGGTGATACATGCAGATTTGTGAAGCATTAAAGGCACCTCTGCCGTCACATTCAGGACTGCTGTTAGGTGGGTGAACAAATGCAAAAACGGTAGAGTTGACATTTAAGAGAACTCGCGGCCAGGCAGGCCAGTTTATTAACATCGAAGAGGAACATTGCTGCTGGAAGGCAGTACACATCACATTCTGACAAAATGCTTGAAATTAAAGAAACTTTCTTTCCGATGAATCACCCATTTGCTGACTTCTGAACAAAAAGCCAAAAGTTTAAAATGTGCTAAAAGATATATTGAATAGGTACGGTAACTGCGACACAAGAAAGCTATTCGAGTTACTTACAGGATCTGGATGTATACTGTACTTTGAACACCAGAGGGGAATTTATGACTGAAGCAATGTTTTTCGAGAAATCAAGAAAGGTCAGTGAATTCAATAAGTACAAAAAAACGTTTCAAGAAAGAACATGTGATTCAGATATCGTGCAAGGAAGGGAAAACTATTACCGTTTTACAGAGACAAAGTACTGAAGCTGTCAAAATGTTCTCCGTGAAAAGGCGTCAAAGTAAACGATTGAATGGCATCCAGCTAATTCACCACAATGCCTCATCCCAAAAGCAATCTTGTACAAGAAGCAAGAGGTGGTAGCACGGACGGACCACCTCCCCTATGTACCTGATGTAAGTCCCTGTGGCTTCTTCTTGTGTCCTTTACTAACGAAAATGCTCTCTGGGAAATTATTTGCCTCCGAGAGTACTCTGGGTAGTGCAATCTTCCAGTGTTTCGCCAATCTACATACGTAATGGATTGCGCGATTGCAAAAGTGGATGGTAATAGAAAGGTCAAATTCATACAAAATAATTGCGATTCCTGGTATTAGAGACTTTATTTCTTGAATGGCCTCGTAAATGTACATCCACAACGTAGCGCCTACAGAGCGTCCAGTTTTGTCGTCATATTCCAAGGATGCAGAATCGATAGCCACATGCTTCAATTTTGCTCTGACATATATTCCAGGGATGGATATGGCGTAAGTGAGCGTAACCCCATACAGTGATTGTTGGTATATACGCTTAACGTTAAATTTGAAGTGTGAAAACTATCACAGATATGGTAATAATCCCCACTCCCTTCCCGTTTATTTTGCCTGTAACTACCACATTGAACACAGAATGAAATCCTTTTAGTTAAGGTTTCTATGAAATGTAAATCAGAAATTCCCCGATGTAACATAGCATGACTTTTTAGAAACGTGTGTCCTTGAAATGGGAGTATGGAAAATACACGGCTTATTAGCTCACCTGGTCCGAAGAACCAAGGTGAGCTTATCCCATACCGTTGCGTCCGTCGTCCGTCCATCCATCCGTCCGTCCGTCAACAATTTCTTTAAACGACTTCTTCTTCTTAACCACTGATTGGAATTTAACTAAATTTGACTGGAAGCATCCCTAGGTGGTGGGGATTCAAAATTGTACAAATGATGGGGCTGACCCCCAGGGGGCTGAGGGGCAGGGCCAAAAGGGGTCAATTTGGCTATATTGCTATAAGCGACTTCTTCTCTAGAACTAAAAATGGATATCAACCATATTTGACTGGAAGCATCCCTAGCTGGTGGGGATTCAAAATTGTACAAATGATGGGGCTGACCCACCAGGGGGCTGAGGGGCGGGGCCAAAAGGGGTCAATTTGGCTATACTGGTTTAAGCAACTTCTCTGGAACTAAAACGTGGATATCAACCATATTTGACTGGAAGCATCCCTAGGTGGTGGGGACTCAAAATTGTACAAATGATGGGGCTGTCCCAACAGGGGGCTGAGGGGCAGAGCCAAAAGGGGTCAATTTGGCTATACTGGTTTAAGCATCTTCTCTGGAACTAAGAGATGGATATTAACCATATTTGACTGGAAGCAACCCTAGGTGGTGGGGACTCAAAATTGTACAAATGATGGGGCTGACCCCCTAGGGGGCTGAAGGGCGTGGCCAAAAGGGGGACATTTGGCTATACTGGTTTAAGCAACTTCTCTGGAACTAAAACGTGGATATCAACCATATTTGACTGAAAGCATCCCTAGGTGGTGGAGATTCAAAATTGGACAAATAATTGGGCTGACCCCCCAGGGGGCTGAGGGGTGGGGCCAAAAAAGGGGCAATTTGGCTATATTGCTTTAAGTGACTTCTTCTGTAGAACTAAAAAGTGGATATCAACCATATTTGACTGAAAGCATCCCTAGGTGGTGGGGATTCAAAATTGTACAAATGATGGGGCTGACCTTCCAGGGGGCTGAAGGGCGGGGCAAAAAGGGGGCAATTTGGCTATACTGCTTTAAGCGACTTCTTCTCTGGAACTAAGAGATGGATATTAACCATATTTGACTGGAAGCATCCCTAGGTGGTGGAGATTCAAAATTGTACAAAAAATTGGGCTGACCCCCCAGGGGGCTGAGGGGCGGGGCCAAAAAAGGGGCAATTTGGCTATATTGCTTTAAGTGACTTCTTCTGTAGAACTATGCCATGGATATTGATCATATTTGGGTGGAAACATTCATGGAAGGCAGGGATTCAAAATTGTACAAATGGTGGGGCTGGTCCTCCGGACTAAAGGGTGGGGCCAAAAAAAGTATATTACTTGGAAATAGTTGAGATCCCCACCATATAACCATGGTATATAATTGCTGAGTATAAAGAGAAGATTGCTCATTTAATTCCAGGATGGCACTAGGGTCTGGCCCCGCCCTTGGAGACATAGTCCCTGGGCCATAACTTTAAAATTGTTGAGATCCCCACCCCAAAACTATATATACAAATGCTGGGCATAAAGAGACGAATGCAGTCATGATATTAGAATAGACCCTGGGGTCTGACCGAACCCCTAGGGATCTAGTTTCTTAGTCACAGCTTGGAAACAGCTGAGAGCCCCACCCTAAAACCGTATATACAAATGCTGAGTATAAAACGATGATTGCACATATGCTTCCAGGATGGCCTTAGGGACTGCCCCACACTTGGAGACTTAACCCCTGCGTCATAACTTCGAAATGGTTAAGATCCCTACCCCAAAACTATATATACAATTGTTCGGCATAAAGAGACAATTGCAGTCATGATATTAGAATTGATCCCAGGGTCTGCGCGACCTTTGCAGACTTCACCCCTGGGTCATAACTTTGAAACGGTTGAGATCCCCACCCCATAACTATATATGCAAATGCTGGGCAAAAAGAGACAAATGCAGTCATGATATTAGAATTGATCCTGGGGTCTGGCCACAACCCTAGGGACCTAGTTTCTGAGTCAAAGCTTGGAAACAGTTGAGATCCCCACCCCATAACCATATATAAAATTGCTGGGCATGACAAAATCTAATACAGTTATGCTACAAGGATTGGCCTTGGGGTCTGGCATATTCCCTTGATCTCATTTGGAGCATATTTTGCCATGATTGCTAAGGTATCCATATGAGCGATACAGGCCCTCTGGGCCTCTTGTTTCATTATCCATTTCACTGTCAAAACTGGACTCGGTCCTATCCAGGATTTATTATACTGGCCGCGAAATGATTTGGTCCGATAATTGTAATGTATAACAAGTTAACATATTGACCTTCAAGTAAAGAACGGCTAGAACTGACGTTCTTGCATAAGTCTTCTACGTATACAATTTCATTTTAATATCTCTAGAAAATTCAATTTTACCTTTGACCACTATCTGTTAACTTGGCCTTCAAGTCAAAATCTGTATTTCATGATGCTACATATTAGAACGAAGTCTGCTTTATTGTAGATTCAATTTCAGACCTCGACACTAAATTAATAGTGTGCAAAATGACATATCTACACCATGAGGAACTGTTTTGTGATGTAAACGATACATTTATAAACGTAAAGTTTCATTAATATATATTTACATTTGCGCTGCAACCCACAATATGAACATTACCAGCAGAACTACATTTCATTAGAGTGTATTTACATTTGCTCTGAATTGCCACTATAAAGTACTACCAGCAAAAATGCATCTTATTTGAGTATAAAAGCAAAAACTGTAGGGACGTAACACGTGGTTTACTTATGACGTCATAGATTAACCTTGTTCAATGAGTCTTGTTGCTTCGCTTCGTATAACATTGAGAATGCCCCTGCGTCAAACGCTCAAATGACTACGGTTAATTATTGGCACCAATTTTACTTGAATAGGGCTGTTCTGCCAATATCGTTGGAAGGACGACGCAATACAAAATGCAGTAAATAAATAAATTATTTAAAAACAAATTAAGTTAAACAATGATTGTTCTATAGTAAAAATGTAAATATTATTTTATGGATTGAACGGCGTTTTTTTTTTCAAGTCGGTATGATAATTAAAACGAAAACGCCGTTCAATCCCTATGTAAATTCATTTGTTAATTAATAAATTGACCGATTAGCAGGCCAATAATAATTCGAGTAGCTTCGTATTTGGGGGTTTTC